GATGGTTCCATATATAACAGGTTGAGCAGGCATAACTCACTAATCTGTGGTGGTTGCAGAGGGGTAGAGGTGGGAAAGGGTGAGGACTAACTGCACAAGGGCAGGTGGGAACTTTCTGGAGTGATGGTAATGCTCTAAATCAAGGGTCCTCAAACTTTTTAAACAGGGGGGGCCAGTTCACTGTCCCTCAGACTGTTGGAGGTCCAGACTGTGGGCCCTGGGACTAGTTGGCTGCTAAGCAGGATAGGCAGCAGCAGCAGGCCGGATAAATGTCCTCGGCGGGCCACATTTAGAGCAGGCGTCCTCTGCTCTAAATCTTGATGGGGGGTTTGTTTAAGCAAAAATATCCATTTGACGAAACTCATTAAATATGAATATAATATAATTAAGATATATGCAACAGCATTGTACAAAACTAACCTACCCTGAGTCATATAAAGGTAAATTATGCAAACAATTTTTACTAATGCTGGCAAAGTTTTCAAAGACTTTAAACATAGTTCATAGGCACTGGTGAGGCCCAGCTTGATTCATGGCTGAAATCCTAGCACTCTGGGAGGCTGAGGCAGGAGGATCACTTAAGCTCAGGAGTTTCAGGCTGGCTTGAGCAAAGAGAGACCCTATCTCTACTAAAAATAGAAAAATTAGCCAGGCGTGATGGCATGTGCCTCTGTAGTCCCAGTTATTACTCAGAAGGCTGAGGCAGGAGGACTGCTTGGGAGCAGGAGTTGGAGGTTTCTGTGAGTTAGACTGAGGCCATGGCATTCTCTAGCCAGGGTGACAGAGAAAAACTCTGTCTCAAACAAAAAAAAAAAAAAGAAAAAAGAAAGAAAGAAAGAAAGAAAGAAAGAAATTACCACCGCTTATCTGCCTGTAGTTTGCATGTGGCATTTGCTCGGGAATTTCAATGATGCCATCTTTCCTAGATTTCCACAAGTCTCAGTGACTTTTGTTGGAAAACTGGTTATAATTACATTAATAAGGACTATAAATCGGTTGAATTTGGTTAAAATGATGCTCTAACTTGAAAACTATCTGAACATAATAGAAGGTCCAGCAGGTGGTTAACTCATGTGAGTTCAGAACAGACATAGCAAACACATGGGCTGGGCTACAATGGAGAGAGTGAAAGAAAGGAAGCAAATGGGCCTGCTTGGGTTTGGATGTCTGTCCCCAAACCCTCAGGTTGAAATCTGATCCCAGCATTTGATGTTGGAGGTGGAGCCTAATGGAAGTGTTCAGGTCCTGAACTTTTTCAGTGACCAGAATTGTGAGCCAAATAAGCCTTTTTACTATATAAATTATCCAGCCTCAGGTACTCCTTTATAGCAACACAGAGTAAGATAAAAAGGCCAAGCACTCAGCAAGTCCTAACAGGAAATAATCAGTACAAAACATGTTCTAATGGTGAGATTTCTGTTAGATATTCTCACCTCTTCTATACAGGAGCAAATGAAAAACATTTCAATATTCCTATGTAAACGCATGTTATCAGTATCGGTTAACCCCATTTTTATTTATTTCCAAGTTCTTAATTCATTGATTCGACAAGTACTTATGCAACAGGCACTTGTTAGACTGTGGGGAATTTAGATTACTGGAGTGACTGATAATAAACAAATTGTCACATAAGTACACGTACTATTATAAGCTCATTAAACGCTATAAAGGAAAGATACACGATGTCTTGGGAGAGTTCAGTCTTTAGGTGGGGCTAGAGAAAGTTTTCTTGATGAGTGATGATGGAGATGAAGTCAGAAAGGCAGGAGGGATTTAACAAGGGATGAGTCAAACTCATCGCTTCTTGCATCACTGAGGTCCTTGCGGAATTTTACATCCAAGATTACAGCATTTCTATGAACACTTGCTCCAGAACAAGTGGATCTCCCGTGCTGGGGTTGTTTTCTGGGAGAGAATTCAGGTGGTGGTGAGCCTTAACTAAGCCAAGACTGCCCCTAAGTCTGCTAAAATGTGGCCAATTCAGGAGATTTCTATAAAGCTTTTATTGGCAGTGGATGGTATAATTACCACTGGGAAGATGAAGCATATACTTCCCTAATCTCTGATTTTGAAAATGTTGACAAAATCCAGTCTGAATTGCTATGAATAACTGAAAGCCTTTGAAAGGCAAGAATTTTCAAGATGATTATTATTTCAGATCTATTTCCAGAATACATTAATTTGTCTCATTTTTCACTTTAATCCACAGCATGGCAAACATCTGCTGAAAATACCTGCTGTCTCCAACTATGGAATATGCCAGCTGAATTTGAATAAGACTCTTCTTTTACTTTTGTGGTCTCTATTCAAGAGTAAAACATAATCTGGATAGAAGAATCAAATCTAAAATTAGGCCAAATCAGAGCTCTAAGTAGACACTTGATACGTTTTTCTCTGTCTTCAGAAAAATGTATTCAGAAAACATTAAAGCAAATAATAAAAACAGGAAACAAAGAAAAGTAAGTTATTGCTAAGAGGAATTTAGAGACAATCTCTTCCAGGGCTCAGTCTTAGAAGTCTGATTAGCTGCTAGGTGGTGGCAGAGCTGGAACTACCTACAAGCAGGGTTTCTGCCTGGTCCCTGGTGCTCTCCAGTGACAAATAGCCTTTCCTGCCCATCATTCTCACAGCGGCCTCCCTAATTTGACAGGAACTAGCATGTTAATGCCCTCAGTTAGGCCAGTGCTACTGTGAGCAGACTACTTTGATTGTCCACAGAGGACAACTCTGCCAGGATATTTCAGCACTATTAATAAACGATCTAGGAGTTTTCAGTTTACTACATGCATTCTCACTGCTTAGAAGAGAGTGAAAAAATCACCTCTCATAACTGGATTGTCAATTACTACATAAACAGATCTATCATACATTTAAGGCATTTTATGTAAATATTTCATAACAGATAATTAAACATCAAAGAAGTTTATCAGTTTTATTTTGCTAACATGACAGTAAGAAAAATAAGGTTTTTTGTTCTATACTATCATGCTCATAAAAACAATGCTAACTGTAAATTGGTATTTACAATTAGTACAACTTCTGATATCCTAATTAAAAGGTAGAAATGCTATTTACAAATCACTCTAATTATGGTAGCTTTAAATATATAAAGCTTATAAATTAATATAAACCATAGATATATTAACCTATATATATATCTTGGGCAGCATTTCGTTAAAGTTCTGTAGTTCAGCCAACCCCACTAAAGTAAGTAAAATTCACAAATATATTAAAAGTAAGTCAAATGTTAAGCTCATACTAACTTTTCAAAATGATTTCAAAAAGAAATTAAAATCAATTAAGATTACCTTGTTGAACTAGGCATGCACATTCTTTGAGTTCTATTAGCTAGGAATCTCAAGAGTCAAAGTCAATTGAGTCAATAAAGGAAAACCAAGATAGGAAATTTGGAAGTTCTGATTCATAAAATGTCTCTATTTCTTGCATGAATAAAATGGATTTGATAATAGTTATTAACCCAATTACAGGAAAGCACAGGTAGAGACCATCTAGTAGTCAATTACAAAGTCTGAATACATTAATAAAATAAACGTATCATGCTATTATCAGTGCAAGCCATAGTTTAAGTGTTTGGTCCTTTAAGCTTCTGCAGATTAAAAAAATAAGTTGCTCTTATCAAAACTGGCTTGTTGCATTTAGAGGTACTGAAATAACAGGAAATCACATAATACTATACACAGTGAAAATTCCAGTATGTTATATTTTTTCTCTTATTTGATTGCAGGCTATAACAGTGAAGTGCAAAGTAGAAGCTTTCACAAATCAGCTTCAAGCAAAAAAAAAAAAAAGAACAAAAAGCCTATTCTGATTAATACAGATAGCTGAAACATCTTTAAGCATGCAATCACTTGAATATTTTACAAGATATTTTCAGGAGCACAAAGAATTCAATACACCAGCTTCCATCAGACACAAGCAAACATTCGCTCCCAACTTCTAAAGCTCCATAATAAGACAAAGTGGAGAGTTTAAATTTAAATGAATAGTATTTCCAATTGTGTTTGTCTCAGTCTGTTGGTAAACAAGAACAATATTAAAAGCTCTTAAAGGATAATGCTCACTCATCATTACTCACAATTTTCAGAACCACATTTTTCACGTGCATGGCAAATTTCCATGCCAAAGGATTAGGAAAAACATTAGAACTTATCTCTAAAGTTTGCCGTGTCTTTAAAAGTAGTCATTTCCTTTTTTATTTTTGACATTACCACTGTAAGACTGAAGTTTCTCTCATTTTGGCAACAAATATTAAAAACCACGTTTCTGTTTTGGCTAATCCTTGTGAAAAGTATTACTATCAGTCCAGAGGAAAACACATTTTGTTTGAAAGATGAGACCATATGCTCCAGTTGTCTACCACTGCTGGTGGTTTTTTTTACAACAGAGATAAATTCAACAATCTAAGCTCAACAATCACATGTAATATTTCTATGGGTTGGAATTCTGTTTCAGTGGCCTTAGAAGTTTTTTTATTAAGTAAAGAAACTTTAAAAACTTTCAAAATCCAGCATGAAGTCAGAGCTCTTTGCTACACACTGTAATCTGATACTGGGCTGAAGAAGTTGACTAAGTTTAAGTAACCCAAGAGGAACTGTTTCCTGCTTTCAGTTAGAACAGTCTACAATGACCTATAGTAACACTGCTGAGGCAGAGGTTACTATCGGACATTAGATGCTGCTATCAGGAAGTCAGATGATTTTTTTTTGTTTTTTTTGCAGTATGACACTCATCTAAAGTGTCTGTAATAACTCAGCTCTGTTCTCCCATTAAGTTTACAAAGACAAGAAAAACTAAGAGTTGGAAAATGCACCCAGGCCAACAACACAGCTCCCTCTTCACCTCAATAAAAGGGCTGGGCCATGGAAAACATGTAAGGAAGGAACTCAGTCTGTATCAAAACAAATTTGTCTGTGAACCTGGCTGGGAAGGTAAAGGAATCAAAGATCTCTTTGGCACTGGTTTATTTAGCATCGCTTTACCTAGTCTGCTCCTGTAAGATGAGATGAGGCTCCACGAAGAACTTCACTCTGAGTTTAAGCCGGTAAGGGGCTAGCCCATCCATCTGCTGGGAGATCCGGTTTCTTAGATTTAGCCATAAACTTTCACCTTTGCTACCCGTAAACTGCAGTCCAAAATAATCAACTTCTATGATTCCCAATCGTCTGCACACCTGGAACAAAAATAATGCAGCACGGATGAGCAAATGGTACGTGTTCAAGCAAACCCAAGGGCTCCTCCAGAGGCTAAGACTGCCGCATACTTTTTACAAAGTTCCGCGGTGTTAACAATTCCGGATCTAAGCTTGAATAACAAAGTTCTAAGGCCCCGGTAATATCGAACCACGAGCTCTAGCATGGAGGTTTGTACTTCCTTTAACATCTAGGACGTGACCCATGCAGTAAAGAAAAAAGGAGTCCTCAAAAGTAGCCTTCCAAAAGGCCGAGGAGAGGGAACGACAGGGTATTTTTTTGTTCCTGTCACCGGAATTCCCTCCACCAGCACAATCTGCACAGCTGATCTGGCGGCTTATTATTTGGACAATTTTAACCATATGGACTCCAAAAACACACACATCGAGGGAACACGCCACAAGTGTCCGCTAAGCTTTACAAGCGGTTTTCCAAACATCTCAGGATCCGAGGATTTTTGAGCAGTGTTTCACTGCAATTAAACTGCTGTCTGCCATACCAACTATGCACTATTTGGAACCGTTCCGCACTCCTAAGGAAACACACATGCTTAAAGACAACCGAGCAGGAGGTGACCCAAACCCGCAGTACTCTCGTCCTCGCAAATCCGGAGATGCAGGTAAATGGTCCATCTGAGCAGCAGCCTGAGCAGCAGCATGAGGCAAGAGCCCGGCTTGTCTGCCAAGGAACCCTGGGGCCAGCTGACTGCTTGGAGCCACCCTCCCTGGGACGCGGATGGTGCCGCCAGGCGCCACGGGGATCTAACAGGCGAGCATCACGCACACACCTGGGGCAGGTGTGCCGGGACAGTCTTCTTTCCCAGAAAGTGCCGGGTTGGGGGGCTGGGTGGAGGATCCAGTCGCCGACTGTGCCCGCGCCCCCAGCGCTGGGACCCCCTGCGCGCGCGTCCTCCGCGGCGCCCACGCGCGCCGGGAACGTCAGCGAGGGGGTCGCGCGACCCACGCCCGAGGGGAGGAGGGGGCGCTCTGGGCGCTTAGCGTGCGCTTTCCCGGCCGCCGCCACCGCAGCGCGCCCGGCCCCTGGTAGGCGGCGCGTCCTAGCGCCGCTGCGAGGCCCCTCGGCCTCCGGGGACCGGCCGGGGCCCCCGCCAGACCCCTCGCCCTCACCTGGTTGAGGCAGTCCTCGCCGTTGGCTTTAGCCTCCACCTCCACCTCCATCAGCACCGCGTCCGGCCTCGTCACATAGCACAGCATGGCTGGGGCCGCCGCTGCCGCCACAGCCGCCTCCTCTTTGGTGCGCTGGGGGCTGCCGCTTCGGCACAGCTTGGACACCAAGCCCGGGGCTCGGCGAGGACTGCCCTCGGAAGGCTGCAGCTTTGCGGACGCCTGCCTTGCGCCCCGCGGACGCCGCTCGGGTCCCCGCCACCCCCTCGCCCGTCGCCCGCTGGCTCCCCCTGTGCTCCGCGGTAGCACCGCACTTCAGCAACCCTACTGCCTGCGCCGCGACAGGGACTTCTCTGATATAGCAGCCCCGCCCCCTTCGGCTCGGGGCCCCGCCAATCACAGAGCTCCCGCCCCTCCTCCGTCGCCCAACCAGCCAATAGTGGCCCCCTCACGGTCGCCTCCCGGACCTCCCAGCGCCGGCTGAGTTCTCCCGGCGGCCTGGGTAGGTGGCAGCTTGCGGGCGCCGGGTTCTGCGAGGAGGGAGGCCCAGAGCACACCCGCTGTCGCTGCTCGCTGGGCGACGCCGCTCGTAGGGAGCGGTAGCCCCAGGCTCCAGGCGGGGACGCCTTTCTGTCGAGGCTTGAGTTTATGATGATTTAAAGCCTCCACGTTGCAGCTATTCTTCAGAACCCTTGGGTCACTCCAATAACGCATTTCGATGGTAAAAGCAAAAAGGAAAAGGAGCAGTCTGTAGCCCAGAGAAAACTGTCTCCAGCGAGGTTTGCCTCCGTGGGTTGTTGGAAGGCAGAATTGTTGCTTATTTTAGACCTCATCATTGAAAAAACAAAATATGAGTATACAAGTTTTCTCAGTTGACAACTAAGCCTGATGGCTTGGTCTAGTAGTTCTTACGTTAACCCTCTCCAAGAGCTCATATTTATCCGCTTTGCTGAATCAAAACACTAGGGCACTAGGCCCACTGTCAGCTTGCTAATTTTATCTCATATTTTGTCTTATTTCTTAAACATTCAATGAAAACCCCATACCCTGCTTGTCCCTCTCTCAATCAACCGATGTTATCCCCCCTTAAAGGTAGGGGGCTCATCTGAGGACCTAGTTGGTGGCATATCCCCAGTACTAGCTATTAATAATGAAAGAGCTACAATTATTCACTCATTTACTACTTGCTTTATTTGCCAATACATTACTTAGCCTACCTCTTTCGTGTCTTTATAGGAGATGCAAGATGTGGGCATCAGCCTTAGACCCTTGGACAACTGACTTCATCTCTCTGAACCTGGGTGTTGTCAACAGTAAAATGGAGACCTCGATGTCTGCTGTGCCTTCACCTAGCATAGTTGTGAAGTAGAGCGAAGATAATACTGTTCATAAAAGCATTTGGATGTCCTCATGTATGTAAGGAGAGCTATAGGTCAGGTCTTGCACTGTCTGCTAATGACTTCTGTTCCTACTCCTTTTATTTCTGATCAAGTAGGAAGGGTAGAACAGAGCTAATTGGAAGGGTCCTTCACTCTGGCCAACTTTGAGAAAAACTCTAAATAGTCCGAGTCCTGACACACACACACACACACACACACACACACCCCACCCCTACCCCACCCCCACCCCCCGTTGCAGAGGGACTCTTGTATGTAATCTTATGTATTTTTTCACTGTCACTCAGGCTGTAGTGCAGTAGCATGATCATAGTTCATTTCAGCCTCAAACTCCTGGCTTCAAGTGAACCTCCAGTCCTGGCTTCCTAAAGTGCTGGGATTGTAGGAGTGGGTCACCTGTTTTTTATCTCACCTTGCACTGCTGAATTAGTCCCTTCCTGCATCAACTCTTGTTCTTCATTCCTTAATTCCAGTTTGCTCATCTGGGAAATTTATCTGGGAGATAGCATTTGGATCAATTTTTACCTAGTTTATGTTTAACTGCTAGAAATTTCAGAACAGGGAGAAGAGATGAGGGACAATATGGAGGCCACTTATACTGGTTACTGTTTTTACTTATGAACAGAAACCAAAGCTGGCTAACTGGAAGCTCATAGAATCAATGAGTACCAGGCATGGAGATGAACAGAAGAAGGAAACAGTGGTTGGCTGACAACAAAAATAAACAAACAACATAAACAACAAGGAAAAAAACGCAAAAGTACATACACCCATTTTGTGGAGAAACTATTTTTAAAATAGCTTAAGTTTTTGGTTTTATGAGGGATATGCCTTTTTTAAAGTATGATTTCATATTTATTTTTTAAGAGTCTAAGCCTGTAAAATAGTTTGTAGAAGCACAAAGTCTGGCAGGTTTTACTTACTTATTTAAAAAAAATTTTAGTAGTGATGGGGTCTTACTATGTTGCCCAGGCTGATCTTAAACTCCTAGGCTCAAGGGATCCTCCTACTGCAACCTCCCAAAGTGCTGGGATTATGAGAGTGAGCTACTGTGCCCAGCTTTACTTTTAAAAAAATTTTTACCAAGTATGGTGTCATATACCTGTAGGTTCAGCTACTTGGGAGACTGAGGCAGGCGGATTGCTGAAGCCCAGGAGTTTGAGGTTGCTGTGAGCTATGATGATGCCACTGCACTCTAGCCTGGATGATAAAGTGAGACCTTGTCTCAAAAAAAGGGGGGTTTGTTTTGTTTTTTGCAGTTTTTGGCCAGGGCTGGGTTTGAACCCGCCACCTCCGGCATATGGGTCCGGCGCCCTACCCACAGGCACTGCCAGTTTGTTGTTGTTGTTGTTGTTTTAAGAGACAGAGTCTTACTTTGTTGCCCTTGGTAGAGTGCTGTGGCATCACAACTCACAGCAACCTCCAGCTCTTGGGCTTAGGTGATTCTCTTGCCTCAGCCTCCCAAGTAGCTGGGATTACAGGCGCCCACTACAATGCCTGGCTATTTTTTGTTGCAGTTTGGCCAGGGCCGGGTTTGAACCCACCACCCTTGGTATATGGGCCCAGCACCCTACTCACTGAGCCACAGGTGCCACCCCTCCAAAAAGGTTTCTATACTTATATTTTATGTTTAACAATCATCACCTACAAAACAGTTGGAGGTTTAAGATTGACATGGATATTTCTAATTCAAATCCAGATCCTATTTCCCTGTGGGATGGTTGGTAAAGTTTTCAATTGTCTTGAAATTAAGAATCACCAAATAACACTGAAGGGAAAAAATATTTCTTAAAAACAAAGCAAAGGTAATAACAAGAAAACAGTACTTGAGGAGGGGGAGAAATCATTATTATTGGAAAGAAAAAGAATACTGGCTTCTACTTACATATATGGGCTGTATGAGACTATTTCTTTCTCTCTCTCTCTCTCCCTTCTCTGTCTTGTAATTTCTTCTTTAAGTAGAGATAAGGAGAGACTGGTTAAGGAACGAAGTGGCTTTGTGAGCTGGTAAGAAAGTACATTATGCTCAAAAGACCTGGTTAGGGAGTAGAAAACCCACAGTAGAATTACTTCCTAGAGAATTTTACCATCTGTTAATGCTACTGAATGTCTGGAGCTGGTTTCAAGCCCCAGCTGGGTCTAACTCCAAAATAAGAGACTCTGAACACCAGGGCTGGTGGTGGGAACGATATTGAATTGAGCCATAATTAAAGCCAAAGCGGTGCCTAAGTTATCTGTGTCTGCTTTCTTTTGCTCTCAATTAGCTATCATCTTTTAAAGATAGCATTAAGATTAGCCAGTATGGTAAAAATGTCAGCCATATGCATACAGATTTTTAAAATAGAAACCATAACTAAGTGGTAGAGTCGGCTAGCCCCATGGAGTCCTCGCTGTTCAAACATACCCACGCACCATGGATTTTCAGTCTGTTTCCTATACTAGGATTCGAGACTGACCACTAGATGTTTGTAGGACGTGATGCAATGGTCATCTGTCTGCAAAATCTTTCTTCTGGTTGAGTGCTAGGCCGAATCTGAATGGCTGGATACTATGTCTGTGGATTCTACTTTCAACACTGCCAGCACCATTGTAAAGCCCTGTGCTGAGTCAAAGGAGAAGAGCCTTTGTTGCCTGCCACACCCTTCTCTTTACCGCTCAACCTTCATTTGTGGGAGCTCGGAGGGAAGAACAATTAGTGACTGCCTTCAAAACCTGTCCTTTCGCTTTCACACATGATTCAAGCTAATTATTCACCTAAGTAATGCTTCACTGAGCACAAGTGTGTGAGAATGTGTTGTGTGAGCTGAAATGGCTAATTTGAAAATATTAGGCTTGTGAAATTCAGGAGTAGTTGAATTTGACCTGGGCCCACCAACCAAGTAAAGCTGGGTGTTTGAAGAGAAAAAGAGAGAGTGAAGAAAGACTAGGGAACACTCACATTAAAAACTCTGGGAGATCTAAAATGGCATTGTTTTAATTAGCAGATAGTTTAAAGGATTTTTTTTCCAGTTACAAAAATAGTTCATGATAGACGACTTGGTGAAGACAAAAAATAAAACAAGGAAATAATGAAGTACCTATAATTTTATTAGCCATTTCTATTTAGGATTAATGTTTTACTGTTGTTCTTTGCATACGTGTGCTCGAACTATTGACTATGATATAATCAAATGCTTCATGTTAATTTCTGGAACGATATCGAGAGAGCAAGAGAGACTTGGATGTGAAATTCCAAATCTAAACCTTGACTATTAGGAAAAGTGTAACCAGAAAGAAGAACCACACAACAATAATTCCAACAATTACTGCTGCTCAGTTCCATTTCTTTTCTGAAATACTAACCTTTCTTACATTTCTTTCCTTCTCACTATTAAGCTGCTCTCAAAGGTCATATTCTGTGACATGTTTACTTGCTTGGCGTGTGTCGTTTAGTGGAGAGATGTTCAGAGGTGGGAGATAATTTTCAACTTGCAACATTCTGGGTAACAATAACATCTTGTATTTGTCTTTTACTTAGGGAAATGATCAATGGTTAGACATGTGTTTTCTGAGCTGCTTATCACATTTGGTGATAATCTAGGTGCTGATCCACTCACAACAGAATTCACCCATCATTCTGATTTTGAACCAATATTGGGGATGCATTTGGGAGCTATGAAAAAGAGAACAGGCAATCAGTCTGCCCAAGGCTCAAACTTACAAAGCTATCCTAACTGGTATGTTCTAACCAGCTGCTCTGTAATGACACCCCTTCATGCCTGAGCGTGCCTTTCTGCCAAGGAGAGAGGGCACAAAATGACGTACTGCATGAGTGGGCGGGACAGAACTTAGTGGGGGTGGTTCCCAATATCAGTGGCACATCAGAAGTACCAACTTGCCAGAGAAAAGGCGACAATTGTTAAAAACGCTATAGAAATACCAAAAGTACGTGAAATCAGCTGTGTATGTGGTGGAAATGACAAGCTTTGGGTG